TATTAACTTCTCCCCATGCTGTGTATAATCTTTACACACACACACCTCTGCCCCAGACTAGAGTTCTGAAGTAGTATCTTCAGCTATACTTGCTATGAGAGCTTGACATTATTGCATGATTTTAATCCTATACCTTTTGGAAGTAATGAGAGATGCAGTTTAGGTAGTTAAGGTACACTATGGTGGGTGGGTGTGGCCTGAAGATATGATTTTCATAGACCTATATGGATGACCAGTGATGTCTAGGATAAAGCTGTGATTAGCTCTCAGCCCTGCTGATTTGGTTTAAACAGATGTCATTTTCAAGGCAGTTGTCAAAAGGAGTAGGCTTAGCGCAGGACTGGGCAATAATTTTTGCCTGGGGGCCACTTCAAAATTTTTGTAAGTAGCCTTGGGCCACCTTGGAAGGGGCAGGGCCTAAACAGGAAGGACATGGCTTAAATGAAAGGGGGTGGGGCTACCCCATGACTGGTCTGAGGGTGGGGGAGCCCCTTTGCTCCCCCTTCTCACTAGACACCCATGCCCTAGAAGAGGCTTGGCACACTCCCCCACCCCCAGGCCAATCAGGGTCTAGGGATGAGGGAGCATGGGAAGCCTCCCACCCTGAGAGAAACACGTGGCACTTTGAAGTGCCCTGGGCTCCTCTCAGGACCAGGGCAGGGCAAAGGAAGCTTCACACAGCTCCCCCGCCCCTAAACCCTGATTGGCCTGGGGGTAGGAGAGCGCACGGAGCCTCCTCTGCTCACCCCCCCACCCTGCGAGCAGCGCACAGCACTTCAGAGCGCCATGTGCTCCTGGCAGGGTGGGAGTAGAGTTTGCGTGCTTCCCGCCCCCAGGCCAATTAAGGCTGCTCTCAGGGCGGCGGCACAGCGGAGAAGGCTTCAGGCACTCCCCAGACCCTAATTGCCCTGGGGGCAGGGGAGCAGTAGAGCCTCCCCAGGCCAGATCCACTCACTTGGCGGGCTGGATCCAGCCCACGGAGGCCTTGTTGCCCACCCCTGGCTTAGAGGGACAGAGGAGAGAAGAGTTAATGAAAAGTACATAAGAGAACATATGTATACATTTTTGCAAACCAGATCCCACTTGCCCTGAAGGTCAGCTTCAACTGTTCTATCTTCATCTAGTTGCTACTTGAGGGAGTCGGGGAAAGAGGATCTCAAATTCCTTGAAGTTTGTTTTTGTGTCTACAAATCTCCTTGATCTCCTAGATGATTACCCTGGTATAAAGAGCTAACCAATGTGCTGAACTGTCTGAAGTTCATTCTTGCTACAGAGTCTTGAAGGCCCCCTAGAAAATGTTAACCTTGTACAGCCAGAGACTGTAGCTGTCTGGTATATAAGGTATTCAAATATTAGCAATACTTAGGGTTGCCAGCTGTCCGATTTTGAACCAGACAGTCCAGTATTTGAGCTTTCTGTCTGGGAAACAAATTGAGAAAATACTGGACATCTAAATGTCCGGTATTTTGTAATTAAGTACGTTTTATTGTTATCATGAGTATCATTATGTAGTTGTGTACTGCCTGGCTGACAGACACGCTCACATTGCATGAGCATGTCTACTAGCCAGGCAGTAGGCAGCTACGCAGTAGAGAGAAGGGGGGCAGGGGCGAGGCCAAGGTGGGATGGAATCCCCGAGGCCAGACTCGCCCGTGCGCCCCACCAGGACCATGCGTGGGATGGGCAGCACCCGGGTATCTGCGTGCACCCAGGTCAGCTCTGCTCAACGCCAG